CAAATGAGAAATGAATTGGGCAATGTAATTCAATTGTTCTAAGAAACCTCTGACTTCCTTCTCGGTGCGGGGAACCATCATTTCTTGAATAGCTTTAACTTTTGCGGGATCAACTTCAATACCTTTACCACTGACGACGAGACCCAGGAGTTTACCGGATCTCACCCCAAAAGTGCATTTGTTCGGATTTAGCCTTAGTTTGTACTTCTTCAGCCTTTCAAATAACTTATGCAGATGACCAAGATGTTCTTCTTCAGTCTCTGATCTTGCTATCATGTTGTCGACGTAGAATTCTATCTTGTGATAAATCATGTCAAGAAATAAAGCTACCATGGCACGCTGATAAGTTTCCCTAGCGTTCTTCAACCCAAAAGGCATAACCTTATAGCAGAAAGTGCCCCTACTGTGTGACGAAGGTAGTTTTCTCCATGTCTTCAGGAGCCATCTTGATCTGATTATAACTCGAAAAACCATCCATGAAGGAGAATACCTTATGCTGAGAAATTTTGTCAACCAAAACATCACGCGGAAGTGGGAAGTCATCTTTGGGGCTTGCCCTGTTTACATCCTTGTAATCTACACGCATATGTACCTTGTCGTCTTTCTTCGATACTGGAACGACATTAGCAACCTATTGAGGATATGACGTCACTGCTAAGAACCCTGCATAGAATTGTTTCATAACCCCGGCCTTGATCTTCTCTGACATCTTGGGGCGCATGCGGCCGACTTTCTGTTTAATTGGAGAACAACCCTCTTTCATCGGTAGACGGTGAACGACAATATCAGTATCGAGCCCTGGCATGTCTTCGTATGACCAAGCAAATATCTCAACATAGTCGTGCAATATCTGAATCAATATATTCTTGACACTACCCTCTAAGTTGGCGCCTATCTTGACCTCTTTTTTTGTCTGTCTCAGAACCTAAGTGTACAACTTCGACTGGCTCTTCATGTGGTTGGATAGCCTTTTCTTCCTGTATTAAAAGTCTGGAAATTTCTCCAGGTATTTCACAATATTCCTCACCTTCGTCCTCGGCTTGGTAGATCAGATTTTCAAAGTCATAAGCGGTAATAGAAGAATCGTTATCAATGAGATCCAGAGTGGATGGAGATCTGCAATATAGTGTGTGTGTGTGTGTGTGTGTGTGTGTGTGTGTGTGTAAGAACACATAGCTACTTGAAAGTGCAATAAAGTAAAATAAAGACAAAGAGCGCAAAATTTGAATGCAAAACATACAATATTTTCATTAAATGTAAATATGACATATGAAATTACAATCCTTAACAAATGAACCATTGTGCCCCGGGCAAGACACAAGGTTTAAAGTCATTATTTTAAAAGAAATTACATAACCAAATTTATTAAAGCGATAAAACATAAATAGCTATTACACCTAACTAAATGAGATAGACATGATGTCTTCCGCCTTCCAGTGGATAAGCCAGTTGCCATTGGTAGGAAAGATCCAATTGTCGAAGTCACAATCACTGTCATCATCCTCTATAGCGTTGACTCCATTATTGCTGATACGGAATGGAGGTCTTCCAGCACGAGCGTGACGAATGAACCTTTGACCTTCTACAGTAAAGTCTAAACCAAACTTATCAGATTTATAAGGGATATTAGGAAGCTGACCCCAAATTATGCAACCACCTTCTTCTATAGTAGCTTTGGCATCTTTCAAAGAAGCCATCTTGTGCAGAACCCTGGTAGTCTTTGGAATGGCAGAAACATCTCCAACAACAGCAGGGGAAATTATTTCAAATGTCTGACATGGAGTCTCGATAAATTCTCCATCTATCTCCATGTACCGGAATAAATTCAGATGGCTGACCATATACTCCTCTTCTCTGCAGACAGTAACAATCTTCCCTTTCACATGATACTTTAATTTCTGGTGCAAAGTAGAGGTAACAACGTCTGCCCCGTGGATCCAGGGGCGTCCTAGTAGATAAGAATAAGCTGGCCGAATGTCCATTACATAGAAGGTGGATTCAAAGATCTGCGAACCCACTTTGATAGGAAGATTCACTTTTCCATGTACCATTCTTTTGGACCTGTCAAAGGCCCGAACTATAATGTCACTGGGTTTCAGCACAACCCCTTCACAGTCCAGTCTGTCGAGAGCGCCCTTTGGCAGAACATTTAGAGAAGATCCAGTATCAACCAATACATGAGCCAATGTAGTGCCCCTGCATTCAATGGAGACATACAGGGCCCTATTATGATTTCTCCCTTCCGGATTCAGTTTAGCATCGGAGAAGCCTAATCCATTATCAGTTGTTAAGCTAGCCACATAACTTCCGAATTGATCAGCCTAAATCTCTTATGGTACATGAGCGATCTTCAAACATTTCATTAAAGCTTGCGCATGGGCTTCAGAACACAGTAGTAAAGATAGCATGAAGATTTTGGACGGGTTCTGCCCCAACTGTTCAACAATTTTGTAATCACTTCTACGAATGATCTTCAAAACCTCTTCCATATCTTGTCTAGATGTATCCTTGAGATAAATACATCCAAAAAATAAGTGGTCCATAGTTTCCTCCTCAGTACAAAAGCAACACTGACTATCATCAATCATGCCAAAATTCTTCAACCTACTTTTTATGGCCAATCTCCAGGACATGCTAGCCATAGAGTCATTACAGTTCTAGGTTGTGCAGAGTTGTTGCAGAATAGCTTGTACCAATAGACTTTGGAGATGTGCTTACAGAGATTATTATACATTTCCTTCATACAAAATCTGTTTTACTCTTCAATCCTACCCAATCAGTTTGGAATTCTCCGAGGTTGTCTTTTTGTTTAAGAATATTTTTCATAATCCAAGAATTATGATTCTTAATAACAACACTCATCAAATTATCTTATTTTCAGGTAATAGGCATGAATCCGCTTAACCCCAAAGCTATCAGACTTACCACTAATATTCCATAGCAGCTTCAACATTGTCACTTTGTTCCAAAGCTTGAGATCAATAATATTCAAACCACCATATTCTTTAGGTTTACTCACCGTATCCCAGACTACTGGGCTTTTTTGACTGATTTCGGACCACCCGTCCAAAGAAACGATCTACAATTACCTTAATCTTTTTTATGACTTTTTTTGGGCATAGGGAAGCACTGCACCCAATAATCTACAATAGCAAAAGTTACACTTTTGATAAGCTAGACTCGGCCTCCATAGCTCAATAGATTAGTGCTCTAATTCCTTGTACGACTTACAAACTTATCCACCAGAATCATATAGGGATGCATTGATAATCTCTTGCATGTAAGAGGTACACCCAAATATCTGAAAGGGAGAGACCCCTCACTAAAGCTAGTAACATCGAAGATTTTTCTCTTACTGTCATTATCAACATTACCAAAATATATTTTGCATTTACCAGGATTTTGCCACAAGCCCAATAGAATTTGAAAAATACTCATCACCTCTTGAAAACAGGAGCAAGTCATCTGCAAATGTCAAATTAATAATACATAGTTTCTCACATTTTGTACGATGATTAAAATCAGGATTGTTCTGCATATTATTCAGAATTCTATTCAAGTATTCCATAACGATAACAAAAAGGAGAGGCGACATAGGGTCTCCTTAACGAATCCCACGTCTAACATGCATCCTCCTAGTGTGATGACCATTGACGTTAAATCTGTAAGAAACCGTAGAGACAACTAACATGATCCAACAGATAAACTGGTTAGGGATTTCAATCTCTCTCAGAATATTTGTAAGGCATTCCAATTCACCATATCATAGGCTTTTTGCAGATCAATTCGCATCATACAACGTAGAGAACCAAACTTCCTCGAATATCCTTTAATTAATTCATACGCTAAAAGAATATGATTATGAATCTATTGACTCGGGACAAAGGTCGCCTGACTCTCATTAATGATGTTTCCAAGAATTCTCCCGAGTCTATCAGTGATGATTTTATATATGATTTTGTATACGGTAATACATCATGCTATTGGTATGTATTCTTTCATAGTCTTTGTCTCGTCATTTTTTGGAAAAGAGTTACTACGGTGCAATTAAAGACCTTGGAGATCCGCTCATTTTTGAAGAACTCCCTTACTGCTCCTATCACATTATAATTTTAATATTACTTAAAAAAAATTCTAATGTCTCACGCATCGTGTGGATTTCAATTTAGTTTCGTAAAATTAGAGTGTGGATAATTGCTATCAACTTTGTGATACTATAAACATAGAATACAAGTAGATTATCCAATTATTAAGATTTATTGGATTTCAACTCACACTTCTAAAATATCGATAAATCTAGATAGACTTGAAAAGAAAAAAAATCAATTTCGTCACATTTGGTTGTATTTACAATTACACCTCTCTAACCTCTTCTTAAATGGAGGATATCACCTAACAGAAAACAAATATGATAATATCATAGCTCATATAAAATCGCCTACATATTTTAGAAGTAAATATTTAAAAATAATTACAATTAATTAGAATTAAAAGAAACCAAATTAGTTTCCTAAAACATACATACCCATAGTATTAATCAATTAACAAAGAAACAAAGTAGTACTAAAATGTGAAAAAGTTGAAAAGGAAAAAAAACAAGACAGGTTCAGTAATTAAGTCACATTTATTAAGTTTTATAACAGTGCCTCAGTAGATGTTTTGTCCAAAATCAATTGTCATGTTCCATATCCAAATATAAAGAACCAAAAGATTCTTATGTACTCTTTCAAATCACTTAACGCACCCGTGCTTTTTACTTTTGCACTTCACTCTCTTTTGTCTCATTTGCTTGTTCTTCATCCTCTAGATACCATGTTACCTACGGATAATGCATATGCATGGTTGAGTTTTTTCATGGAAAGTTGAAGGAAAACAACCAAAGTTGTTATCTTTTTTGTTTTTGATTTTCAAAGAAAGTGAAGATTTTTTTTGCATAGGGAAAAATGGACCGTTTTGGAAGATAGAAAAAGAGAAAGAGAAGGGAATCGTTGAAGGGTAATATGCCAACAGTGTGGTTTTCTTTGAAGAAGTCACTACATTGCAAATCAGAACCATCAGATGTACATGATCCAAAAACAAGGAAGCATTTAAGCACAATCTTGACAAAAAAAGGAGGAAGATCAGGTTGTTCAAGGTCAATAGCAAATCTAAAAGATGTTATCCATGGAAGCAAACGCCATCTTGAAAAGCCTCCAAGTTGTAGTCCAAGATCTATTGGAAGCAGTGAGTTTCTCAACCCAATAACTCATGAGGTTATTTTGAGTAACTCAAGGTGTGAGCTTAAAATCACTGGTTTTCAAGAAGGGGTTAATAGTGGTGGAAACAATGCTAGTGGAAGTAGTGCTGGTGGTTCTTCAACTTTTGTTGGTACTTTGAGACCTGGAACACCTGGTCCTGGAGGGCACCCTACAATGCATTACTTTAACCCTTCTTTTAGGACTTCTTCTACTCCTCCAAGGAAATCTCCTTTTCTGTTATCAGAAGGGTCTGGTCTTAATGGTGCTGGTGTTCATTCAAGTAATAGGATGTCACTTGAGACTGATGCTAATGGCTCTTCAACTGTTACTTGTCACAAATGTGGTGAACAGTTTACCAAATGGGAAGCTGCTGAAACTCACCATCTCTCCAAGCATGCTGGTAAGGATATTTTTACTTTTTCTTCCATTTTGTTTATCCAATTTTTTTCTGACCACAAACTTTTTGGTCAGTCTTTATCTGATATTCATAGTTTTTTATTTTTTTTATGGTGAGGTGATAATACTACTTTTTGAATTTGGGGCTGTAAAGCTGATTTTGCTTTTTTGCCATTAACTTTTTAATTCAGAACTTCTGTTAGTAGGAGCAATCTCTAACAGATTTTTTAAGTATCTTGAAAATATCTAGGATAATTAGAAGTGTGTATCACTTTTTCAGCCTACTTTATCCTGAGTTGGTGATAGTAATCAAAATTCATAATTGATTGATGTGTTTAGTGTTTGGTGATTTCACTTTGTTGTTATTTGTATATAATGGTTGCGGTTGTGTTGCGGTCGCATAAAGACTTTTGCGATTTTGGTTGGAATAGGTGTTGCGGTGCTGACAGTAGTTATCGCAGTGTGAATTAACCATAATTTGTTATTTATCATAAAGCAGTGAATAAGGGTATCGGTATCGGCATCTTCCGTTACCGCCGTTTTTTAAGACCTTGGTTTTGACATATTTTAAGTTTCATGTTTTTTGAATTCAAGATCAAGTTTTTTCCCTTTTGGCAGTTACTGAACTTGTGGAAGGAGATTCATCAAGGAAAATAGTAGAGATAATATGCAGAACAAGTTGGTTAAAGTCTGAAAACCACTGTGGTAGAATTGAGAGAGTGTTGAAGGTGCACAACATGCAAAAGACATTAGCTAGATTCGAAGAATACAGAGAAATGGTGAAAATCAAAGCAAGCAAACTCCAGAAGAAGCATCCTAGGTGTTTAGCTGACGGAAACGAGCTTTTACGGTTCTATGGAACCAGTGTTGCTTGTTCTCTTGGTCTCAATGGTTCATCAAGTCTTTGCCTATCAGAAAAATGCTGTGTTTGCAGAATTATCAGGAATGGTTTTTCTGCTAAGAAGGAGCTGAAAGGTGGTATAGGTGTTTTCACAACTTCCACGAGTGGAAGAGCTTTTGAGTCTATAGAGATTCTTGATAATGAACCGTCACAAAGAAAGGCGTTGATAGTGTGCAGAGTAATCGCTGGCAGGGTTCATCGGCCACTCGAGAACATTCAGGAAATGGCAGCTCAAACTGGATTTGATTCATTGGCTGGAAAAGTCGGTCTTTACTCAAATATCGAAGAGCTCTATTTGCTTAATCCTAGAGCTCTTCTTCCTTGTTTTGTTGTAATTTGCAAACCATGAACCTGAAAAAGACCCGTGTCTTTGCACACGTCTGGATTCACGGTGAATTTGACAGAATCACTGGGTGCTACCATATAGTATTTCAACAAAATCACAGTAGCACTATGTTTTCTGTTAACTCGCGGCGATTTCCAAAATGCGCTTACATATTGTGTAGTTTTATGAACTCTTACCACCCTTCTATTTTGGCCTTTTTTCTATGGAGGTTCTTTGCTTTACATATTTTGAAGAATTTTGATTCTTTTTTCCCTTGTGCTTGTTCATGTTAATTGTAATATGTATGAAACTTCTATTCATACATTTGTATTTTTTTTCAATCTTATTGAGAGTGAATATTCTTACATCTAAATCAGAAAACATGAATTGTCACGACCAGAAATAAATACTAGTATAGAAGACTTGTAAAATGATGACATCAGATTTATAGATTTAATAGTTATCTATACTTTATTTCCATTGGAAAGCACACAATGTAGTTGCTTCCTTGCAGGTTCTATCTTTGTCAGTGTTAATTAATTGAAGGTGAATAAATAAAATAGTCCTTCAAAATGAACCAACTAAGATTATCAATTCAAATTCTTGCATAGGACAAAGTGTGAAAATTATTTAGTTTTATTTAATACAATCAAATATTAGATTCCATAAGTCTTAATTGACTAATATAAAAGTGGTCCAAATGTGTTAGTCACTGGTTTAAAATTTTGTAATATACAAATCAGTTACTTCTTGGCCTCAAAATGTGAAAGGTCCTACATAGTGCACAAATGGCAAGATGTGTCATATTTGGCATTTATTGTTTTTTAGCCAAATTTATGGCATGTGACCCTTCTTAGATGGTTATGGTTCAAGTAAGGACAAAGGTTGTTCTAATCTTGTGGACAAATATGAACAAGAATTGAAACTCAGAAGTATGATTATTCATGGTTTAGGCATATACATGCCTTGTCTCTTCCTCCTTTGGTTCTGTAAATGTTTAATTTTCAGCCACCATTTCTAGGATTTTATTGGATCATCATGATGAGAATAATAACCATTTAAGATAAGGTGATCTAGACGTTGGACCCGTCTTGTTCATATTCACTCAATTTCGTTATTGCAAATTTAAACCATCTGATTCTGATAAACTAAACCATTTTTTTTACTATGATTATGCGAATGCATGGTCATCAGTGCAATAATATATTCAAAATTAAATTCTCACACCACTAATTTGGTGTTGCCTCCAACATACTCATAAGAGTCTGGTGCTGCGTGCAGGATCAGTGAGATCCTGCATGCAACATACTCATAAGAGTCTGGTGCTGCGTGCAGGATCAGTGAGATTCTGCATGCAGAACCATAATTAAGGTCTAACATATACAAATATAAGGTGATTAAGGTCCAACATATACGCATATGCGGTGACGAATAAATGAGTGTAATGTGAACATAGTATATAACATGGTCACATTGAGGGCAATAACTCTCAAGAGCGTGTACCCATCTTACAAAGAGGTGAGGGGGTTGGTAATGTCAATTCATTGCTGTAAACATCTGCACAGCTTTCAATTTCTCACGGCACATGCATCTCATAAATGTGTGTACTAACCCTCATTACACTTCCCTGGTTTGGTATTGAATGAAACACCATTAGATATTTCAAATTTGATATACTACTACACTAGTAATAACTTAGCAAATATGAAGAGGTTGGTGCAGTTAACTTTCAAATTAGCCAGCAAATCTTACACAACAATAAAACCTTTTTTTATGGTAAATCTTCTGAGTTATGATAGGTTTCTCTTTTGAATATTTGATGCAGACTTCACCAGTTGTTGATAGATAGTAGTATTCAATAAAGACAAAGGAAAAAATAGTGAAAGATAAAGACATCAAAAGCTACCAAAAACAAGTAGTGGATTTACCAACTTAACCTTTCTCCTTGTGTTTAACCTTGCCTATATAGCTAAGCTTTTAACCAAAATTTTTAGCTCTATCTTTAGGATCATATTTACATACAAGCATGATAGCAATGTTTGCAATGATTGCTAACTTGTCAGTTACCTGCTCAATTTTTTTGGACCAACAGTTAAATATTCAATTATAAACCAAAATTAGAGATGAAAGTTAAAATAGTCTTTGCATGATCTAATTATTTTTACACCTCCATAAACTTTAATAACCTAATTAGTCCATCAAATAGTTAAGATGTCACACGTTGGTATTGTAATTTCTGCGATGCGCATTGCGGCATGAATTTTAATTAAAAGATATTTGAAATACACGGGATGTTAATAAGGAAAGAAGTAAATTGCGTTTTGCGATTGCTTCATCACACATTATGACGTGAATTTTAAATAGAAGATGTTTGAAATACATAGTCAAAAAACATGTGATGTTAATACTTTTCATTAAGTAAGAAGTAAATTGAGTTTTGCGATTATGAAATTTTGAATTTTTATGAAAATATTTACAGAAATATGTGCGAAATTGTCTGATGCAATTTTTAATAGTGATAATACAGATGATTATAATTCACATTGCAATTACAGTCTGATGCAACCGTAAAGACTACCGTTTCAACAATATTGTGGTCACAATTATAGTTTTGAGACTGCAATTACAAACTATGACACCATATTTATTTTAAGAAGTACTAAAATGATTTGGCCATAAGTCAAATATTTGAGACTAACTTGTTGATAAAAACTTTTCAACACTAGTGTATTTGGATGACTCATTTTAGGGTTCTAACTAAAATAGTAAAAAGAAAAAAAGTTGAAGAAAGTGTGTGTGAATGAGCTAAAGGATTCAAATAACAAAATCAGCTACTACCTAATAATGGTGAAAACGATTCATATCTACTCATGATATAACTTGCATTACCAAAATCATGCAGAAATTAGTTGATAAGCTATTCCTTAACAAATTAGCTTAGATATTTTTGAAGTGATTTCTATAGGGTTGGTCTCTTGTATGAGACTTTTGGTCCCCATTCTAAGAACCTATTGATGAAAGTACAATTAAATTAGGTCACATTTACTCTACACAAACTCAACATATGGACCAACCCTCATTTAATTGTGATGATTCACATTAGACCAGACACAACAATAAGTTCTTGGTGCTTTTGAATCCATCAATACCTTCCTGGAACTACCATATATCATGCCTCAAATTTTTGGCATGAGGAATCTATTTCTGTTGACAAATAATTAATGTTGGCTGTGAAATGTTATTGTAGCTAGGGTAAAAGATAATGAAATGTACTACAAATGTTTTTGAGCTCATCAATACCTTATTGTAAGTGTGTAATTGTCATGTATCATGCTAGAATTTTTTGGCATGAGGGCTCTTTTTTCTATTTTTGTTGTTGATTGAACGAGGGTTCTATTTCTATTGAGGATTAATGATGACTATGGAATTCTATTCTTGTAACTAAGGTAAGAGGAAATGAATGTATACAATACTAGAAAAGTAACGCAGTGGTTTGAACGTTTACTTCACTTATTTATAGCAAAATAAATATCTTGTTTAATTTAAAATATTAAATAAGTCTTTTATCAATTTTAGGAGCTCTTTTTGCGTTTATCTAATACTCCAACTGAAGCATAATACAAAAATCCACCGAGATCTTCTTCCTCTTATCTAAGAAATTTATGAGAGCATAATGTCAAAACCTATCGAGCTTTTCTTACGTTTATCTAAAATTTATACAAGAACACAATATCAAAATTTACTGAGCTCTCCCTGCACTTATCTAAGAATTCTACGAAAGCACAATGTTAGAACTCACCTATCTCTCGTTGCGCTTATCTAACACTCCTACGAGAGCACAATGCCATATTTCATCTGAATCTCCTTGCGCTAACTGGCGACTCCTACAGGAGCAATATGTTAGATTCTCAAGGTTGATTTTTTTATGGAGGACTTAATGGTACTATGAAAAACACACTCTAGGAATAGAGCGAATTCTAGGAAGCTTTTGACAAAGACGGAAGAGTCCGCCCTAAAATAACATGACCCCTCCTTTATGTATCAATATATCCACAAAAATATACAACTTGCCTAACTTCAACCCTCTAAGCAAGAGTTACGGCAAGACCCTAAAGTTTACCACATAAATGATAATCGACTCATAACGACCTAAAACTAAGTCAGAGGAGTGTAATGATGAGGTTTACTACACAAAAGTTTTCTCCCATACTCGAGGGACTATGTGTATGTGCACATTCTAATAAGCCTATTTTGGAGAAAAATACTTATTAGTAAGACAAAAGCACTCTCTAAAGATTAGTTAGACTCTAGGAAGTTGCAGAACTTTGTTTTACAAGTAATATATTTTTATCAAGACAATATATCTTGATGATGACAACTATAAAAGAAAGAATAGAGTATCCATCATACAAACTATGATAAGTCAAATAAAGTCCTTAAGTGGTTAAAAATACAAGTCATGAGTATAATGAGTATAAAGGATTGGTAAACATGATAATCATATAAAAATAAAATAAATTGGATTCTATCAAAAGTCTCAAGAGATCTCAAGCAAGTGTCAACATAAAAGATTATAACCGACAAAAGCTTAGAGAAAATATCTTTAAATAGTAAGTAAGTGAAACTATATAAAAGCAAAAGGACTTTTCCATAGAAGCACATGGCTATAAGCACACACACTAAAACATTTTTTTATCAAATGATTTGCCAAAAGAAAATACTTTAAAAAACATATTAAAGTTGTATATAACAGAAAGGGAGCAGTCAAAAAGTTACAAAACAATTTTTCACTATATTTAATCGGCTTAAGCAAAGTGTTAGCCAATTAGATTAGCACACACTTGAGGTGCAAGGCAATATGAAGGCCCCCATATTCTGTATAATGACTATATATCTTTTACTTCCATTTTGGATTTGTATACGATTATTTTTAAACCTTAACTGATTGAGTAAATCGATTAACAACATCTATTTTTTCTTAAATGATATTTCCTTCTTTGGGGAACCTCAAGCCTATAAATAGA